ATGCAATGACCAAAGACTAACTCAATAAATAAAACTCAAATTCTACTTTGTAGAGTTCTCAACAGAATAACTATGAAAACAAAAAGAAAAGTAGCAAGAAAAATAATGCCTATAAAATTTTAATCTGGAGCCTCAGACATAAAATTTCAGAATAAGGACTCAACAATTGTCACCCAGTGAAGTGTTTCCCAGATTTTTCTGACTATAGGCCATGTAGGTTGCATAAACATGCCTATTCTGCCTGTTGTCACTTTTGGGGTATAAGGTCAGAAGTAACAAAGATTTTGATTAAAAAAAAAATAAAAGTTTCTTAAATTAAATGTAGACCTATTAATAAACATTTAAGTAAAGGATATGACAATATTATAGAGAGAGAGCATTTACTATGTTTCATGTGCATTAATTCACTTATCCCTCACAACTGCAATGTAAAGTATGTATTATCTCTTTCTCAACAGTTTTATCTACTACTAAACTATGATCTGATGGTGATGATGACAACAAAGACTAACACATACAGGATTTACTATGTGCCAACCACTGTTCTAAGCACCTAATGTATATTAATTCATTTCCTTACAAGCCTTTCTCACATTACTCATAAAATACAAGATAGGTAGTATTAGAATTCATTTTAGAGATGAGGAAATTTATTTTTAAGGCTCTCAAACATATAAATAAAATCTTTTCAATTCTTAGTCCAAATATGACATGAAGATAAATGAAGTTGATCAGATACCTAATCTTGATTTATCTTCTATGGCGTAAAGCAAATTATTTCCTAGAAGATGTGATTTACTTAAAATATAAACTCACTATTCCATCAAAATCAAAAGTCCTACTTTTGCAAAGCCTAATTTTTGATACAAAGTTTATAAATCTTGGATTCTAAAATTATACATGTACATTTGTGTATAATTATATATAATAATATATACAAAATTATATACTTAAATATATAATTTTACAGAAATATAACTTTTTTTTTAAGAGACATTATCTTAGCCCAGGCTGAAATATAGTGGCACCCTCAAACTCCTGGGCTCAGGGCAGCGCCTGTGGCTCAGTGAGTAGGGCACCAGCCCCATATACCGAGGGTGGCAGGTTTGAACCCCACATACCGAGGGTGGCAGGTTTCAACCCAGCCTCAGGCAACAACAACAACAAAAAAAACTCCTGGGCTCAAGTAATCTTTTTTTTTTTTTTTTTTTTTTTTTTTGCAGTTTCTGGCATATGGGGCCGGCTGGCATCCTACTCCTTTGAGCCACAGGCACCACCCTCAAGTAATCTTCCTATCTCAGTCCCCTGTATAGGCAAAACACCTATATGCCTCTGACCAAAAAAGCCGTCTGAGAGACAGCAGTGAAAAGACTTCGTGCAGGCATACTTGTAAGAAACTGAGGCAGAATCCCATGTGGCCAGGTTGGTTGTGAGCCTAACATGACCAAGGCTTTGGCTGGAATAGCATTTCCAGACTATGTTAAGGAATTAAGGTTGATTTTATAAGGCCAATGAAAAAGCCCTTTGGAAAACTGGCCAGATACCCATCAGCAACCTCTCCTGATCTGTGGTGACGAAGGTCGCTTGCTGATGGGTCTGGGAATGGAGTAACCTTTCCTGATCTGTGGTAAGTGATGAAGGTCGCTTGTTGATGGTCCTGGAATGGAAATGTGCTCAGGGACTTTAAGGGAAGAGGAATTTACCCAACACATACAGGTATCTAATGGCACAGATGAAACTTGGGCTCGTGAAAGGCTTTTGAGAAGTCCAGCCTGAGAATTCCTTATAAAAAACTCCAGCAAACTCCTCCTGACTTAAGGCCTACATGGAAGCAGAGGTTTGCACACAAATTCCTATATGCCCAAGAAGTTTCTCTATGCTTTGCTTAAAGATGCAAAGTAACAGCCTCCAAATGGCAAGGGCAGGTATTCAATCTACCTTGTTCCTCCCTGGCCTCAAGCTTCATCAGATAAGAACAAAGTACTAATGGCTAACAATATGTTCTCCATTAAGATTGGGTTATGTTGAAAGGGTTATGTTAAAAGGTGTACGTTGAGTGGATTATCAGATGTCACATGATGTTTAATTGGATCAATGAGGTCACTGTTGTATGTACAAAATTCCCTATATAAGCCAACTGCAAATAAAGAAGCTCGCCATTTTGCCTGAGTGAGCAGATGGTCACCTTTATTTAAAACACAATTTCAATAAGCGTGCTTATTCTCCACGACATTGCTTTTACGAGACCCTTAAGGCAACACCCCTGTATAGTTTAGACAATAGGTGTATACCAACACACCAAGCTGATTTTTAAATTTTTGGTAGCAACAAGGTCTCATGATGTTGCCCAGGCTTGGTCTCGAACTCCTTGCCTGAAGTGATTCTCCCACCTCAGTCCATCCAAGTGCTGGGATTATAGGGATGAACCACCATGCCTGGCCTATGTGATATTTTTATACACACAGACACACACATATACAGGGTATCCATAAAGTTCATGTGCAATTTAAAATTCCACACTATTTTAAAATGCACAAGAACATGTATACACACACACACACACATACATAAATTCCTTTCTGTAACACTCAAATTACCTTTATAAATCTAATTCCTATAGTAATTCTAGGCTGCTGTCATATTTAAATAAACTACCTCCTGAAAAACAATCTTTACAGGCTTTGTTTTCCCAGAAAAGGTTCTCAGTAACAAATCCATGAATCTCCAAAGTCTCCCATCATAGTACTAATTACATATTGGATAATAGTAATAAAAATGTTAAGTTTCCTGACAATCTCTGACCCCCGCCCCCAACTGGTATACAACTATTAATAAATGTTAAGGGAATTCAAAAAGATAAAAATATTTCATCATGATGAGGAAAAATGATTTTTCTCAGAGTCACTCAGTGAACAATGAGTAAAGAAAAGGAGGCAGGGTGTGGTGGCTTATGGCTATAATCCTAGTACTTTGGGAGGCCAAAGCAGGAGGATCATTTGAGCCCAGGAGTTCAAGATAAGCCTGGGCAACAAAGTGAGACACCCCACTCCATCTCTACAAAAATAATTAAGAAAAATCAGCCAGCTGTGATGGTGCACACCTGTAATGCTAGCTACTGAGGAGGCTAAGCTGGGCAGGTCTCTTGGGCCCAGGAGTTTGAGGTTACAATGAGCTATGATCATGCTGTTGCACCCCAGCCTAGGCAACCTAGTGAGACCCTGCCTCCAAAGGGAAAAAAATAATATGAAAAAGAAAAGAAAAAAAGGTATTAATATTTCCTTCCTGAAAATTTATAAAGAAGGATTTCTTTTTTTTTTTTTTTTTTTATTAGAGACAGAGTCTCATTTTGTTGCCCTTGGTAAAGTGCTGTGGCACCACAGCTCATAGCAACCTCCAACTCCTGGGCTTAGGCAATTCTCCTGCCTCAGCTTCCCAAGTAGCTGGGACTACAGGGGCCCGCCACAACACCCAGCTATTTTTTGTTGCAGTTTGGCCGGCCGGGGCCAGGTTTGAACCTGCCACCCTTAGTATATGGTGCCATACTCATTGAGCCACAGGTGCTGCTCAGGGATTTCTTAATTGATTAAAATTTCTCTTTGTTATAATGTAGCCTACTCTGAAAACTTTCTTTTATACTCAGAATGTTTAACTCATTTATTTCTCCTTACTGAGAACCAAACAAAAAACATAAGTTAATACAGATTGAGCGTTCCAAATCTGAAATCTGAAATGCTACAAAATCTGAAGCATTTTGAGCACCCATATGATGATGCTCAAAGGAAAAGCTTATTGGGGAATTTTGCATATCAATGTTCAACCAGCACGTATAATGTAAATATTCCAAAATCTGAAAAAAGTAACAAAATATGAAATACTTCTGGTCTTAAGCATTTTGAATAAAGGACAATCAACTTGTAAATACAAATGTTTCACTAGTTAATAAAAGCCAGAAACCTGGAGTTGTGTCTATTTTAGAAACTGATGAAATTTTAAAGAGAGGTAGAGGTAAAAAAAAATTAAGACAATATTCTCAAATAATTTTATAATTCTAGATCATGCTTTAAAACTCTCTGCCAACTGAGACTCTTCCCATTATTTATTCCTACTATAAGTATTGTCAGCCAACTAAATCTTACTGCCTTTAATTTCTATGATTCTTAAAATCTCACTCTCCAGGTTGATGTCTATCATTCTCCATGGTGGCAACTGTCTCCTCCATTAAAAGTGAGCGGGTGTGCAGCTGGGGTAGAAGGAAAGGGGGGATTTCAGGGTTGTTGGTATTGTCCTACATCTTAACTTTGATAATGTTGTTGATAATGTTTGATAATGTACAAATAACTCAATATATGATAATTCAAAAGTTATATACTTAAAATTTGCAATTTTTATCTATATATGCTATAATTTAATTAAAAATCTATTAATTAAAAAAAAACTTCCTCCTGAAGTCTTCCCCTTACTGGTTTACCAGGGTCCAATTATTCAATCTTCTATCTACTGTCTTGGCTTAGAGTATGTTTATTTTTGTACCTACCCTATTACTAATGCCATGTTCATAGTTCTATTTTCAGCTAGCTCATGAACTTTAGTAACAGTAACAATGTAAAAATGCCCAAATGGACACACACACACACACATATATAAAATTAATGACTGCATATATATGTTAGAAATATATGAATCTAATGTGGGACTTTGATTTTCTGATGAGTGTTTCTGCTGTCATTTTCAACTGAGTACGGATTGAAGGGCTTCACTGTAAGATGTCAGATCTAAAGCCTGAGCTGTTTTCATGTACACTACAATGGTTCATAAAGTGTATCTACAACTTTTTCAACATTATTACTTAGGAATGGAATGGCAACACCTGTTTTACAAGAATGCTGAAGCTTCCCAGACCAAACACATTATTTCCATAAAAATAATAGTCAAAGATAATCACACTCTCTTCATACTTTTGTAAAGAGAAAATGCTTTAAAAACAGAGCTACAATTCCTACCTGGGAGACCTCTTTGTTCATAATGAATTCTCAAAACAGATATGGTCAAATCTAGTGCTCCAGAGGGCAGCTTCCAAGGGAACGGGTTAATGATGTTTTCCACGGATGGCTCTAGTCTCTTCACTCTCACCTCATTTAAGGCCAATTATACAAATAACTAAAACAAATGAG